ATTGCTGATGGATTTGAGTTTCAAATAAATTGCTTTGGAAAATCGTTGAATCCTTCTCGTTCCTGCCGCTGACCGCCACGTCCTGTTACATAGGGGTGACTTGCTTTGGTTTATTGTTGAATGGTGCAAACAACACTTCCCTTCTGCACTGATCAGTTTTACGGTACTGTTGTATATCTTCCTCACAATGGTTTGAAAGTATCCCATTGTTGAGGAGAGTACAAACAGCGGGCAAGAAGATCACTGCACACTTCTTGCGTGTTTGACAGTAAATCATTGTTCGTTCTGCCATTTTACCATGTGCTTTGATTCCTTTAATGGCTTCTGCAAATATTTGTTCAAATGGATGACTCTTCTGTATGTAAATGGCACTGTACTTCCGGTTTGAACGGTCAGGACTCTTTTTAATAACCACCGTCTGTGGAGCAAGATGAAGAGTTTCAAAAATTTTCTGCCTTGTTGACTTAGTTGCGGTGGCAGTTACTTCAACTAATTTGGCCTTCTGTGGGATGAGTGACCTTAACTCTCCCAGGTTTCCAAACCATTCACGAAATGGGACACTTCTTTCCCCAGCAAGACCCCTGTAAGAAATGTAAAAAAGCGATTTAAAAAGAAAAACAATCATTGACCAAGTATGATGTACTTTGTTCACCCCACAAGTTGCCAAATTGCACAAGTATTATCAATTTTTCTCTCGACGAACACCCATCCCAGAAGGTGTTAAGTAACTACGAAATATAAACAAAAACAAATTCAACACAACATACCAGTGACTGATACAGTGCGCCTCGTCGATAGCCACTCCAATCAGGTTTGATTTCAACGTGGTGGAGCTGAACATATCTCTCCAGGTATCCTGCGCAAGGAAACTCTCAGGTGAGCCATACACGTGCGAATAATCACCATTCATGACTCTTTCGATCACATCCTCACTTGAATCTTCTGTAAACGCGATGGCTTTCAACTAAAGACTGTTGAGATACTGCACCTGATCTTCCATCAGCGCCGTAAGAGGCAGTTTCCCTAAAAGCGATTTCGATTTTTTGCGACAAAAAATAGTTTTCCTTTATTTTTGGTCGGTGAAGAGGCTTTAGTAGGTATATACTAAAATCGCTATTTTTGTTTTCAAATTCTTATTCTTAGCTCTGCTACAAGCCAAAAACGAATTGAGTCCGTCTCGGCCTCTCAGAGAGTGTTTCAAAGACTAAAATTAATACATTTTGAAAAGCGCGTTGCAAACAAACGAATGCCCACACAAAAAATCTGTCCGATTCAGTTTTTTTTAGTTAACCTTCGACAGTTCACAGACTAAATAAAAATACCTTTGATCAAAACATGTTCAACTTAAAGAATACCTATTTTGCAGGCTTAATCCAACCCTGAAAGTAAGGAAGGTTTGAGGGAAAATATCTCAAAAGTTGCGGCCTAAATCTGGTCTAAAATCATATCAAAGTAAAGTTTTAAGCTTATTTTTTTGGTTTATAGGCTCAGACTTGCGGGTATCTTCTTGGATTGCAACCAACAGTAGATTGTAATCTGCCATTTTGGGTATTTGCATAATTACTGGCCATGTCAGATGTCACGATTGTACAGGTTAAAAGTTCCATGAAATTGCCTCTTTTGACACTTGAATTCGTCTCCGGCCTCTAAAAGAAAGTAATTAACCTTCTTTAAGTACTTTTGAATCGAAAGAGATATATTAACGGGGATGGTCATGCATGTTACTGATTACCACTATCAACTCAGGCGGGCGCCGTCGTCTTGTAACTACCTGCACTGAACAGTAACCAATGTCAGTTTTAATAGAATTCTGTAGATCAGAAGTTTATCCAAGCTCTCTAAGTAATGAAAATAAATATCACTACCCGGGATAAAAAAATATGTACAAGAAAGAATTTTAAGTTCTTTCCGCAATTTCAGGGTGAATTTAACTGCGGTGCATAAATTATTGTAATAATCAGGCTGTTTAGAAACGTTTGACGCACAACAAAAACAATTAGTCATTTACCGTTTTATCTGTTCTCGGTAAATAAGAGGCTTACCTTTACTTTGGATTCTTGATGGAAGAAGTCTATCCAGCCAGCTGAAGTTATGCCTTTTCGTTAATTTTGAAAATCAAATCATAGCGTGATTTGTCACGTAATGTTAGCTAATGTTATGGTCACGTCGTTACGTAACTCTTCGGGGGCCAAAATCTTTGTGATAAACGAAATTTGTTTCTCTCCAGAAAAAGAACATCATTGAATGAATTTTTCCTCCTTAACTACTGCACAAAATGCGTATCACACCCAGGAATTTGTATTGGTAATAAATCATTATTTTCACAGCATCTCCGCCCTTCCATATTTTCAGGCCCGGCAAGCACTGAACGGGTGAGGGTGGGGGGCAGTGGGATACCAATATACTCGTTTTTGTCCTCATAAGATACCAATATAGCTAAAAATTTGTAAAACGTTTGATACCGAATGCCTGAAATTACCTTGAAAAAGAAGACTATACACCTAAATTATTAGGACTGAGACAAACCGTCCAACCTTTTTTTGTTTATCAAAAAAACTAGTATTAGCGTCCAAGGACATGGAGCTAGCCGCTGGGGGCAGGGTAAGGCGGCATTCTTCCCCAGAAACGCCATTTCTAGTGTTCTTAGCCTGCAGCCTGCTAGGTAGGCTATGTGTTCTGAGAGAACAATTTAAGAAAAAGTTGTTGGTAAATCGACTGAAGAATACTGTGAATATTAAATAAATAATAAAATAAATAGATTTAATAATGCTTAATCACAGGTTGACAAAGTCCTGACTTTTTCCATTAAGTGCTCATACAGAGCTCACTGAGCCTGTCCGCAAGTCTAACGACTCTAGCAAATTGGAAAGCTTTCGAAGGTAAATTATCCGTAGAGGTCGCATTTGGACCCGCTCTATTTTACTAGGCAGGATGGGCATGAAGGGCGTTATATCAAGCCACGCAACAGTGTACTATAGGACGGAACGTAAGAGAGCGACGCAGATAGCCGCAAGGTCCACTGCACCTGACTGACGCCACCTCTACATATAACACGGCTAATGCGCAGATGCTTAGCCTGGAATACAATCATACAGATGAGCGTATGTCATTTCATACTGGATAACCAGATCTGTTTCGAGTACTTGTTGATCAATTCGTAAACGGGGTAGCTGAGGGTGGCTTTAAGAAACACACCCTTGGCTTTTTACACTTGTTAGCATTAAGTTCGGGACGCAGATGGAAATTGACAGTGGCACTTCTTAATTTTTCTTGGGCTTAGGTGGCCAATCAGGTCCTACAACAAGCACTGGAATATATTCTTCGATATTTTGACACACTGAAAGCCACTTGAACTGGAAGAACGGTACGTCATATACACTTCATCCAGCAATATTGGTGCAATCCCGAAGAAATCGGGATTATTAGACAGTTTGCTGAAAAACAACACACCCAGGTAAACTATATAACTTTCGGTTCATTGCAAGTCGGTCATGCGAGTCTAGATCTGATCCGGTAGAGCATATTTCGATCACTGTGACAACGTACATTTACATAAAAAAAATTGTCTTGACATCAAAAATTTAGGAAAAAAAATTATATCCTTATCGTGACACTAAAATTCCGTAAAACTGAACAAAATTGAGCCAGGATACCTGAAAACCCAAACCCCCCGGCCAGGCCTTTCTCCTTTAGAACGTCAAAATCACGTAACCGGGATGTCAGCAAGATGTCACGTTAAAATACAGTAGTATACTATGTTGAAAGATAAGCCTCGTTGGTGCGTTCCCTTTGCGTTCCGTGTGCGTTCCCTTAATTAATATGTATAAGGGTCGAGTCTATGACGTCACCCATTGTGATAACCTAGGGACAAAAAAGTGCCTTCCTCCATACTAATAAAGTGCCTAGTCAGTGTCTTTGCTGCATACTAATTCGGTATAGGTTTACTAATGAGCGTCACTCTACTTCAATAGAAACAATAGGCTTGCCTAGACTTGCCCGGAAAAGCCCGGTTTTCGGACCGTCTATTAAAAGAAAAATAGGAATAAGAGAAGAGATCACCTAGCAACGCGAGAAACGGCTTCCTATATCTTATTTAGCGCTAAAACTCGGATATATAAACAAAACATACACAAATTGGAGCTGAAAACGCTTTATTTCAAGTTTGTCTGACTATTACAGAACCGTTTTCTCCCATCTATCTCGAGGACATGAAAAACTATTAAAGTCTCAAGGTTTCACGCGCCGTTAGTTAGGTAACTATGCGAGTTCACAAGCCCACCGTTGCATACAAATTAGCTCTGCAATAAAAACCCCAAGAGATAACCTTGACTATTATTATAAAAACAATTTGAAATAACTTAACAAGGATCAATTAAAACACGCGACTCATAATTGCTAGCAATAAAACCAGACACGACATACCGTTTTAAAAAACTTTATTAAAAAACAATGACAAACAGAGTCACATACATAGCGATTTAAAAGGAGAAGGAATGAAAATTAATCCTTTGACTGACTTACAAATCCGTTTTCTCCGTTTTATTTCAAGGAATAATAAATAATCCTTCCGTGTCTACACAATTTCCCTATGGCCTCTAAGACAAGAGTTCGACTTTTCCAAACAAGTGCTGCGATCACTGGTGTGGTGTAGTCATGAGACAACGAGATACTCACCCTTTCATTGCTTTCTACATAATGTCCTTCACGAACTGAACAACTATCTTTATCCTAGTACAAATCATAATCTACTTTCACTTGGTATCCGTACTTTAACATTCGTGCTGTATTTCTTTAATATCACTTACTACACGTAGTTTCACTGATGTTGGTAATAGTACATAATCGTTACTATGGTAATCAATACACTACTTCCTTCCCGGGCGGGTTCTAAGAACACTCGAAAGATACATTTAACCAATCACAAGATCATATAAAATCAGCAAAATTTAATGTCAATAATATACAAAATTGTCACAGTCCTTAGTTAACTTTAGAACTCGTCATGACCTAGTGGTGATGACCTGTTCATTCTGAGAGGCTTGCTCGTCAACATGACCAGAAGGTTTAGTGTTGTCACAAGCGTCAGAAGCCTTAGAACTAAAGTCACTAGAATTGTTGGACTCCTTATAGTTGGTAGAAATTTTTACTTCGCCATCATCATCTATGCTCTCACTAGGCGCATGCTTTAAGTACTTTGCATTGCGAACCAACGTGGTACCCGTGTCCCCGTTGATTAGACTGAATGTGTCCCGCGCGATGTTAACGTGCTTAGCCAAAGAGAATTTCGAGTTCAATTTTTTGGGCTTCATATTACCACAAGACACGACATTGCCAACGCGAAAATTATGCGGGGACACATGTTGCTTGGTGTCATGATAGTCTTTCAGTTTCGCTTGATACAAGCTACATTTTGATCGATGGTCACGATCAAGTGCCGATGCTGCTGTATTTGAGTTAGACTCAATGTGCGGTACCTTCGTACGAATTTCGTGATTGAACAACAGCATACTAGGCGATTTTCCACTAATTTGTTGTGGACTTGCGCGATAAGTCATAAGAATATTCGGTAGTTCCTTTTGCCAGGACTTGCCTTCAGAGATCACCGCTCCAAAAATTTTCTTTAAGTACCAGTGAAATCTCTCCAACTTTCCGTTACTTCGCGCATAGTACGGACAAACACGCATATGCCTTATTCCACACGATTTGAGAAACGCTTTGAATTCTTCGCTGATGAACTGTTTTCCGTTGTCTGAAACGAGTTCCTCTGGAAACCTAAATCTAGCGAAAATATCAGTTAGGGCCTTAATGACTTCGCGTGAAGTGATTGCTTTTATGATGTACGCATCCGGATAAGACGAATAATAATCAATGTAGGTCAATACAAACTTTCCGTCGACTGGTCCAACGAGATCCACTGCGCCTTTCACCCAAGGACCACGAGGTAGAGGCGTTGGCTGAAGCGGCGTGTATTTATTCAAAGGTTGATTCACCACGCATGCTTGACAATGTTTGATCATTTTCTCTGTTGCATCGTCCATGCCGGGCCAGAAAAAACGAGTTCTAAGAAATTGTTTGGTCTTCACAATTCCCTGATGCGTCTCGTGCGCTAGTGATAGAATTTGTTTTCGTAGAGACTGTGGAACAACAATTCGATTCCCTCTAAGAATTACTCCTTCAAAAATAGACAATTCGTCCTTTATGCGGCTATACGGTTCAAGATCGGTATCGAATGATCATTTTCCGTTTTGAATTTGGGCAACTAATTTGGACAGCGTGACGTCTATACTAGTGTCGCATCTCCTGTCAGAAAGAGTGACCGCTTGAAGATCTGACATATTTGACATGCAAACAAATCGTACATAATTTTCGAAACGAAACCGGTATCTGAACAATCATTTTGCTTGGATGGCAATCGCGACAGCGAATCTGCTGTGTTGGCGTTCCCTGCAATATGCTGAATACGAAAACTGTACTGATGTAACCTCCAAGCTAAACGCTGGATACGAGGAATAAAACTTTGCTCGAATATGGATCAAACATAGACGAAAGAAGCTTGTTGTCGGTCAACAAAGTAAACTTAATGCCAAACAAATAATTGTGTAGATGTTCGACCGCCCAGACGCAACTCCTCCGCAACCCCTCCGTTCCAGCGATGTGAGTGATCGACTAATGTAGGTGATCGGTTTACGCTCAATAAAATAGCACCTAAACCAACTGGACTGGCGTCTGTGATTACGTACGTCGGGACATTTAAGCTAAAACAAGCCAAAACTGGTGCGTCTGACAGCGCTTCTTTTAGGGCTTTGAATGCCTTTGCTTGTTCTTTTTCCCATGTCGATTTCTGCCCCTTACGAGTAAGCTTTCTAAGCGGTTCATCTATGTTGGCATAACTTGGAATAAATTTACAAACGTAGCTACAAGTCCCAAGAAACGATCGGAGGTCAGAGACATTGCTAGGAGGGGGCGTAGCTTTGATGGCGTCCGTTTTCGCCACATCGGAGGGAGACATGAGGGCTTACGGTATTGCGGTATTGGGCTTTTTTTCATGCGGTATTTCGGTAACTTTAATTTTCACGTGGGGTATTGCGGTATCATCTAGCTCTGCGGTATGCGGTTTTTCATTTGGCTGACGGTATTCGGTGAAATAAGATTGTTCACGGTATTACGGTACCATTTATTTGCGCTTTCCTTTCGATAAAATACGTAAAACAAAACACAGTAGGACATAAAGGTCTATAAAAGTTAATATTTAGATGTCTTGAGACATAACGGTAAATGATTACACCATTATTGGGCCATTTTGTAACAGTTAAATGTCGATAATATATACTGTGATTGTTGTTGCCTCCAATGATAATGAGTCGTCTCAAGTTACCTTAGCAGGCTTTTCGATCTGTGTACCTGTGCCGGTAATTCGAGGTCTTACACGTTTTCTCACAATGGCTGAGGACGCTGAGGTTGAAGACGGCGTGGTCATCATTGACTGTGTGGTAATTTTTTATGAAGAGGGCGAGGGAGCTGAACATTATCGCAACAAGAATAAGTTTAGATGTCGGGTTTCGAGGATTGAAAAACGCCTTGTAAAGTTAAAAGAGAAAATTTGGTAAGTTTACCTCTTACCGCGGCGGCGTGTGAGACAGTCGAGATAGTTCAGTCGAGACAGTTGACCCCTGAGACTCTGACGTGTTAGGCTGGACTCACTTATCAAAACTCGCACTAGACGTGCGTGGAAAAGGGTTTTGTTTGGTTTGTTTTTCGCGCTTTCAGGAGTTATTTTTATTCGAGTTAATTAGCTGTTGGGTCGACCTGCCTAAAGGTTGAACGAATGTAGTTTACTTTTCATGAAAACTTGCGAACCACCAAAATATTAAAAAAACATCGACATCTGGTGCATAAATGCCCTGAGATAATTAAACGCGCTAGATGGAAGCAACCATAAGTATGCGAAACCGATTATAAATTTGATTGAGATAATCGGTATCGGTATTTACACGATTTTCGACGCGGTATTTCGGTATTTGCCATTTTTTCTTACGGTATTGCGGTATTGGGTACCCCCCAATGTCCTCCTCACATCGGGTTTAATTCCTTTTTCAGAAACAACGTGTCCTAAAATTGTTATTTGTTTCACTCCAAATTCACATTTGCTACGACTGAGCTTGAGGTTGTACTGGCGACATCGATCTAAAACCTTGCGGATGCGCTTTAGAAGTTCGGTCATGGCCTCGGCATAGATAAATAAATCATCGAGTGAAAGATGAAAGAATCCGCTCTTGGCATCGATCTTTGGAAAATACTTAGAGCCGCGCATAGCATGTAAAGTATCGTCTATCCATCAGGTAGTAGGTGTCCCACAACTCATTTCGGCCATCTAAATGCTTCCGGACGAGATAGAAATTGTGTTAACTGGGAAGTGCGGGGATTTTTAGGCTATCTTTACCCCACCTTATTGAAGATTCCCTGTATGATAAGGTAAGATCTCTCTTCTAGAATGCTTAGCTGTGCTCAGGTGAATTACAATTTTAGCTATAAGTCCTCTACACATGAAATTCTACCGACATGCAGTGATGCATGCCACCAGTGCTGACTCATGCACCTACCACAGAATCCTTTTTTCCATGTCCATCTGACTCCTGCATGCATCTGATGAAATCGACTACTTTAAAGAACACTGTGTGGTAAGATTCTCACTTAGCCCCATACACTCTATTTTGCATACATGTTTCGACTCTGTTCTTATGAACTATTTGTGTGAAATAGTATGATATTTCTGCATGCATTATGATTTTAGGGCGCTGTGCCGAAATCGCGCCTGTGGGTTTATAACTAGGCAAGATTATTTAGCGTTTTGCTTTGCTGGACCTTTCGGAGATGGGTCCACCGTAAAGTGCCGAATAGAGTAGCGTGCCAAAAAGAGTACGACGCATAAATTATGGCAAATTATGAAATACCTGAATCGACGCGATGACAACTCATGACATGATGAGGACGGAAACCACTCAAATATAAAGTAAAAAACTTAGACGACCCTAGGTCACAGGCCAGGCCAACACGGCATCCAGCTAGGCCAAATTTTAACGTCTGTCACACATTCTCTGTTACGCCACCCTGCTTTATGCCAAACAAAATGAAGGCTATCTCAGAATGCGTAAAATTTTAATACAAATTAACTTCTACTTCCTTATAAAGATATGGCAAATGCGAAATGTAAGTACACAGAACAGGAAAAAATAACTTTTTTCCTTTTCTTTTTCAATTTCAGTCAAACAATCTCTCAATCTTTTATAACGCGATTTACGTGCATGCCAAATGTAGTACAAGATGGAGAATGTGTCAGCCCAGTTAAACTGATAAAAAGAAAAATACGCGTTCTAAAGTAACTTTTCTGCTACGCGCCGAATAGCGCGTTGCGAGGTGTAAAATGCTGTAACTTAACTTTCTTCCCCTGATGTAAGCAAAACTGTACGCTCTTTGCCCTTAACATACTGCGTGCCGAATAGAGTACGAGTTGGAAAATGCTGTAACTTTACTATTCCTAACCTGATGTAAGAAAAACTGAACGCTCTTGACCCCTAACATGATGCGTGCCGAATAGGGTTCGAGAGTCCGAGAAAATGCTGTGTTATGAAGCAAGAGTGTAGCGTGATTGTGAGATGGCGTGATTTTATTCGTTTAGATTTTGTTATTAATAGTTTCACTAGTCTGTCAGAGCGACAGAGAACTTGATGACAGATCGGATTAAAAACTAAAGCTTATAGATTCAAGGAAGTCACGATTTTGTGTACTGTGTGAGCGAGCCATTGTACTGTGAGGATCGAAGCTCTGAAATAAACCCTGTTTTCCTTTAAACTGTGATATCGTGAAGAACGGCCCTTCGGCATTCACGACAAAGTGGCACCTCCGACGGGACGCTGAGAAAATAGATAGAGATGATGGAGGCCAAGCTCAGCGCAAAGCTACAGTTGCTTGTACTAACCACAGTAAAAACTAAGGATGTTGCTTTTAACGATGACTTGGAAAAGATTTGTCGACACAAAGAAGCCTTGCAGACTATAGTAGCTGGTGTTGAGGAGTTAAAGAGGGATATAGAGCAAGAAAAACTAGAAAAGGGAGAAACTGTGGACGAAGTAAAAGAGTAGGGAGAGGGAACCGACGGTAAGATTGACATTGTGGACAATGACATCAAATTCTTAGAGGCTCGTCTCAAAGAAATAGTCACTCATTCTGGAATAAGGAATATCATTTAGCTCGAAAAAGTGAGGAGCAGCTAAAGTTTGAGCGGCATCAGCTGGAACAAAAGGCAGAATTCTCTAAGGCCCAAAACTCAACGCCAGACTTGCCGCATAAACAAAGCGTCAAATTACCAAAGCTCATGATAACCAAATACAATGGGGCTCTTGAAAATTGGTTGTCGTTTTGGAACAAATTTGAAGCAGAAATTGATAGCACCGATCTACCAGCAGTCATGAAATTTGCCTTTCTCAAGGAGCTAGTAGACGCACGCGTTCGTAAAGGAATAGATTGCCTTTCCTTCACTACAGAAGGATATGAGCGC